CAGCTGCATGCAAACTAATTACTTTATTAACAGAATTAATACTAAAATAATATATATATATATATATATACATTTTTACTATTATGGCATGCGTAGCCAAATCAGAGATTTTCATTTTCCAGTGATGACGTCATCGTCATAGTAAGGCCTCGTTTGAATTGGCTTCTGCTTTTAAAAATACCAGTTTGCACCTTTTTACATTGGCTTCAGTCTGCTTTTAAAAAAAACCAGTTTGCACCTTTTTACATTGGCTTCAGTCTGCTTTTAAAAAAACTAGTTTGCACCTTTTTACATTGGCTTCAGTCTGCTTTAAAAAAAACCAGTTTGCATCTTTTTATATTGGCTTCATCTGCTTTTAAAAAAACTAGTTTGCACCTTTTTACATTGGCTTCAGTTCAAAAGAAGCAGCTTTTGAAGCTGAAAAGTGTTTTTGTAGCTTTTGAAATAAGTAGAAGTACTTTTCAGTTAAAATTACTGTTTTATCCTTCTTAATAATAATAATAATAATAATAAATACAATAATATAATCTAATATAAAAATAAATAACTTATATATTATATTTTAATACAAATTAAAAAATATAATTAATTTATTATTTTTAATTTATGTACTATATTTGGATTAAAATTTAAATACCGAATATAAATAGGAGTATATAAATTTTTTAATTATACTTAAATTACTAAATATAATTTATAAAATTTTAAAATAAATTATAAAATACAAATTATATAATATTACACTGTAATTTTATGTTTAATTGATATATTATCCTTAAATTAAAATTTTAAAATATAAATTATCAAAATTTAAAAGTACATTTTTTATACTTAAATTTAAAATCTTTAAATATAATTTATAAAATTTAAATTAAATTATAAAAGTATTATAGAAAAATACTAGTATTATATTAACTGCATATTCTTTTAAATAATTTTATCAGTTTAAAAGCACTTTCAACTATATAACGTCGAAACAGTTTTTTACGAAAAGCTGCTTTTATAATGATTTATTCAAATACAAACCGCTTCTGCTTCTCCTTTTGACTTCTTCTTATTTTTTAAGTCAATCCAAACGGACCCTAACTCAGTTACACGTATACTCAATATTTTATATTATTAAATTGTACTGTGCATGCATGATTACTATTTACAGATAGTGTTTTTTTTTTTTAAAAAAAAAAAAATTAATTGAGTGTTGAGCAGAAAATTGGACAGGTGTGGGCATGGATAATAAATTATTTAATTAGTGATAAGTTAAGTAGGATTTTGTGTGTATGTTTGTATTAATTAATTTATAATTAGTTATATAATAGTGTTGCATGATCTGCAAGTGGAATTGATTAAGAATACTATTATAGAGATGATATGTCCCGTGAGACCCTAACAGGGAGCAGATCCATCAGATGAAAACATTATACTTTACTACTATTTTATTTAATTAATTTATTTTTTATTATTACATTTTATTTATTTATTTATTTTTCTGACAACAGCACGTATGCTCTAAATATTTCTTAGATACTCACTGCCACATGAAAGCCGATCATTCATCCAAGCAAGACCACAAAATAAATAAATATATTAGAAAGATAGATAATTCGATATATATGTGCACCACCTTTAATTTAATTTAATTTAATTTAATTTAATTTAATTTATTTTCATTGTTAGCTAAAAAGTGGATGCATCAATTACCAGAAATCTAACGACCTTGCTGAATTGCTTCTCTGCTACTGCCTTACGTACTCTTAGTTCTGCTTCTTCTTCATTTCATTTCTAACTCCTACAAATTAATTTCATATATGTTATTTATTTATTTGTGTATATATATGTTGGTTGGGAATCGAACATGTGGATACCAATCGTAATTAATTAATTAATTAATTATTTATTTGTGTGTATGGAGAACTGATGGATGTTAGAGCAATTGCAATGGCTTTAATATAAACAGCTTCTTTGTCAGATTAGAAGCTTTATTTCAGGACATTTCAAAATATACAATGCAATGACTTATATTTTGATTGAAAAAATTTGATCGTACTTTGGTACAGGCGAAGCCCAATTCAGGCTATGCATTTACTTTCCTTCTCTCTATCTCTCTCCTCTTCATTTTTTTTCTCCACATTCTTACTTTCTTCTCTCCTCTTTTTACTTTCTCTCTCCTTGTTGTGTTTCCTCTTTCTTTTTTTTTTTTTTTTTTTTTTTTTTTTTTTTATCAAATAGAACTGTTGCTCAATTTCTCTCTCTTTACCTATAAAAATATAGAATATTACTTTGGACATAGGGATAGTAGCTAACTAGCTAGCATAATGTTTATATATTTATTTAATTAATTAATAGATTAAAATATTATATTTGGATAATTCTTCTTCAACAAGGTATATTAATTAATTAATTAATTAATGAGAGCGCTGATTATACATGCAAGCAACGTAGCATTAATGAATTCTATGACAGTGGTCCCTCCCAACCCTTTCGATTTTCGCTTTTTTGTCTTTTCATCAATAAATAAATAAATAAAAACACGTTGATTATTGGAAAGAAAGAAATGTGTGGTGGTGATGAGGCCGTTGACGATGTAATAATATGTATATATATATATATATATATAGTACGTACGTACAGTAGTATTTCTTTCTATAACAGAAAATACGACTTGGAGATAATACGTGCCACGTGTTGCCTTTATTCGTAGCAGCAGGTAATATCAGCCGACCATACATAAACAGACACGTGTCCACGGAGGCTCCACTGCTAATCCAACACCACACACGTAGTCTGTCTACCGTAATTATATTTATATTTATATAGTAGTATAGTATACAAAATCTATTTCTGACTTTCTATCTTGACAATACAAATGTAGATAAATGCGTACAAATTGTTATAATTCAGCATTGGAAAAAAAAATAATAATAATAATACAAGCATATATAGATTTATTATATATATATATATAAATGATGAAGTTACAAATAAATTGGATGTGTGTATATTTGAAACAAGGAAACTAAGCATTTAAATTGCTTATAATTATTGGATGGGTAGCTAAGGGATTGTAACAACCATACCCACTTTAATAATATTAATTATAATAACATTAACATATAGTAATTTTACATTATTTTATAAAAGTCAAATGCATGTTTTAAGTGCCACCTGTCCATCCATCGCTCTTCAATAAGCTCTAATATATATATATATATATATATATAATTTCCCCGCGCACTCAAATTCTAAATTTCAACCAAAAATACCAAGGATTATGCATATATAAATATAATACTCCGCTCACATTTTATATATATGTAATTTTTTTTTTTTTTTATAAATACAGAAGTTTAGATGAAATATAATTAGTAAATAATAAAAAAATATATTAGTAAAATAATTTTTAATATAATATAAATAAATATAAATTAAAATTAAGAGAAATAATTAATTTAATTAGAATTTTATTATTGATTATAAAATTTAAAATGTAATTAAAGTATATAATTAATTTTTTAAAAATAAAATAACAAATAAGATGGGACGGAGGTCATCCCTTGTGAGACTAAATACTACTAATTTTCTTTTAATAAATATGGACTTTTATTCATATTACAAATACATTTTTATTTACATTAATATCATTATAGTATTAATTTATACATTCAAGGCCGAATAAGTTTCATATAACAAAATATTATCCACTAATATTAAAATCTACAATTAAAATAAATAAGTAGATATATATATATATATATCTTCTCCAAATAAGTAGTTTTAGAGCCATAGAATATACTCCATCCGTCCCACCTACCATGTTTACGTTGCCGTTTTTGTTCGTCCCACATACTATGTCACTTTCATTTTTCGGAAAATGATTACACACTTTAATCTCATTTTAAACTTTTTAATTTTTTTTTTAATTTTAATTAAACTAATTAGTTATCTTAATCTTAATTTATAATTATTTATATTATCGAATAATTATTTTCACTAATATATTCTTAATTATCTATTAATTACATCCCTCGTAAAATACTGTGTCTACAGTATAGCAGACACGGTACGTGGGACAGATGTAATAATATATATGTATATTTGCAGTGACAGAAATCAGAAAATAGTATAAGGGAATATTAATTTTTATTATTTATTTATTTTCTAAATAATATGAACCTTCGAGGTGTTGTGTTTTTAAAAATATTAATAAATTACAGTAGCAATATCAACTATATATTGTAATATTCAATTTTGGATTGAGTAAAAGATTGTCCATAAATAGGTCAGCCCTTGTATATATGCAAAGCATATGTTTCTTTAATCGAGTTTCCCCAAATTTTACTATTTGAATTTTATATTTTTCGAAAAAAATATATTTTTTTTTCTCTTAAAACATCCATCAAACATTATTTTCATACTAAACTCAAATCAATTTTTTTTCAAACTCATCAAAAGAAACACACTCGGTCACGATGCTTTCAATCCCATCACATATAGTGTATACATACAATTGATAAACCTTATTAAGATTGGTTATATTAATAAATTTTTATGTAGAATTTCAAAATTACCGGAGAGACAAATTAAATTAGAAACCGTGTGTATGTAATGTAGGCATAATTTTAAAATGGTAATTAGTCCATAACCATAGCTCCCTCATGATATGCGTCATAATTAGTACATTAAATTGCAATTAACGTTAATAATATGTTATGGTGACGTACGTAAGTGTAATGTAAATATGTAATCCTAATTAGCTATCCATCCAGAATGAATGAATCAAATGAGAGAGGGGGGCGGCACCAAATCTTGTTGACTTGCTTCCATGTGTCTTCTTCCTCTCTCTTCCCCCCTCCCTCTCTCTCTCTCTCTCTCTCTCTCTATATCTATATATATATATAACAGCAGGTTCCCTCTCTGTTGCCTGTCATCTGCACCTCAGCCTTGTAATCATCTTCTCCATCCTCTCTAAATCAACTGGAATTACTAATTTTAGTAAGTAATTAATGGGGAGATCGCCCTGCTGTGACAAAAGTGGAATGAAGAAGGGTCCATGGACCCCGGAGGAGGACATGAAGCTCATCAACTACATTCAGACCAACGGCCCTGGCAACTGGAGGACCCTCCCCAAGAATGCCGGTAATTAATTAAATTAATCATATGCATATATGTATGTATATGTATATATCTGAATTCATTGATTGATGCATGTAGGGCTGGAGAGATGCGGGAAGAGCTGCCGGCTCCGGTGGACGAACTACCTCCGGCCGGACATCAAGAGAGGAAGATTCTCCTTCGAGGAGGAGGAGACCATCATCCAGCTCCACAGCCTCCTCGGCAACAAGTGGTCCGCCATCGCCGCCCGCCTCCCCGGCCGGACCGACAACGAGATCAAGAACTACTGGAACACACACATACGTAAGCGCCTCCTCCGCATGGGGATCGACCCCGTCACCCACGCCCCCCGCCACTGCCTCCGCCCTGATTCCGCCGCCACCGCCACCCTCTTCACCCACCTCCTCCGCCTCCACCACGCCGCCCTCACACTCAACACCCTCCTCTCACCCCAAACCCAAACCCTAACCCAAACCCTAACACAGTTCCCCCCATTATCATCTTCATCACCACCACCTCCTCAGTTACAAGACGCCGTCGCCGATTTTCCGATCAGCACCGCCGCGGACACATCGATGAACCACCAATTACTTCAAAATTGCATCCCGGACTTGTCTGATCAAAACTCTAGCGGCGGATTTCAGCCGATGAACAGCAGCAGCAGTTGCAGTTGCAGCAGCAATAGCAATTTCAGCTTGGATTCGGTTTTGTCGACGCCTCTCTCAAGCCCGCCTCCGCCGCCGGCGGAGGCGGCGGCTGCCATGAACGCTAATAATACATGTGCTGCATCAGTGGGGATAAATGAATATGAAAGAGAATTGGCTGCAGCTTTGTGGGGCAACGATAACGATGATCTGTGGAGGTTTGAGATCCCAGAGGGCTTCGATTTCGATGATCTAATGTTGCCTAATTATTAATTCATTCATTATAATACTTTCTTTTAATTACACTTCTTGTTTCCCTTAGATCGATCGATCGATCGCCTGCTACATCTATGTAGATCATCGATACACAGACACATATATATGTATATTGTTTAAATATTTCTGTTCTAGGCTTCGATTTTACAAATTATATGTTAGCCAATTCACTTCGTTTAGTTAATTTAAATTACTTTTCTATATTGCTCTTTTTTTTTTTTTTTTATTTTTATTGTACTCTTTACTTAGCAATTGGATAAGTGTTCCAGTTTCGCAAACTTGGCCTCTAAAACGAAAATTATTTTGACCTTTTTAAAGTCCTAGGTGTCTGTCTTTAAATTAAGTCATGTAGCGAGACTCTCTGTAATTATTTAAGTAAGAATATTGATTATGTGGAGGGGGCAAATCGTTATAATTAAAAGTTTATGGGTGGGACAAATTAAAGGCACAAAAAGTGTATGCCGCCAGCCACAATCAATGCTGCTGCCACCTGACTTGCTTACTGTCTCACTCAATCCTAAACATACCCGTACATAGAAGTACGCATAATATTGAAGTTATTATTTTAAAAATTAGTCTATAATTTATTCTTATTTTTTATTTTCGTCTGTCTTATATAATTTATTTATTTTTTTTAGAAATATAATTATCTATTTTTTAATCACATTTTAAGTTTTAAATTTTATAATTTTTTAATCTTAATTAAACTATTTACTTATTTTAATCTTAATTTATAATTATTTTTACTAAATAATAATTATTTCTACTAATATACTTTTTAATTACCTACTAATTATACTTTACCTAAATTCTCGTATCTACAATAACACACTCAAAATATATGGGAAGGAGAAAGTATTACTTTTATTCTAAATTTATTTTATTATATTACAGAATATTCTAAAATAAATTAAAACCCTATTAAACTAATATTAATAATTATTCATGACAATCACAATATTGTTAACTTTTTTAATATAAATTAATAAAAAAAATTATATTCATAGACAGGGCAAAAACGATACACATTATATTCTTATACTACTATATATATATATTATATTATATTATATTATATTATACAACTTGTAATGGTTGATTTATTGAAAGTAATCAAAAGTTAACCGTAGCTTGTGTAAAAATGAAGCGGTTAGGTAGGGTGGATATGTTTTAATTTGACCACGGAAGTGAATTAATGCCTTATTTTCCTTTCGTTTTCATTACAATTTACTGTATATATAACATATGATAATAATTGGCATGTCCTAATATAAATAAAGTGCATTTTTGTCCTAATAATCCGTGTGCTGTGCACTTTTTTCATTCCATAATTTGGCAAACTTTGACTGGTGATACATAAAGATTTTTATTCACTTCTTGTAATAATATTGCAAGCTTTCTTCTCAAGGGTTGATCATCTTTTTTGAGGCCATATTGATGTCATCTAAACTAGAGCCGGCAATAGGTCGATTCGTGTCGGGTTGAATATTTTAAACGGGTTAAATTATTCAATCTTAACCCGACCTGTTTATTATCGTGTCGGGTTCGTGTTAACACATTTATTATCATATCGGGTTCGGGTTGACTCGTGTTGACCCGTATACATAATTAAGTTGAATTTCTTGATTCAAATTAAATAATTTTTTGTTATGTTGTTTTGTTATGTTAGTTTTTATTGGTTTGAGCGTAAATTAGGTTGAATTACTTAAAATTGAACTTAGTTTAAATTAATTTATGAGAAAATTATTAATATATGATTATTTTACATATATAATAAATATATTAATTAATAATAATATATTATAATCGGGTTGTCGTATCGGATTCGAGTTGAGAGCCTCAACCCTAACCCGACCCGTTTACTATCGTGTCGGGTTCGTGTCAACCCGTATACATAATCAGGTTGAAATCTTTGACCAGAACTCAATTATTTCGTGTCGAGTCGTGTCGGATTGTCGTGTCGGGTCAGTTCTTGCCAGCTCTAATCTAAACTTGTCTTGTATTAATGATAATCTTTAAACTTATAATAAATTATTTTATTTATTAGAAAATGATAAAAATTTGTTAATATAGACACTCCTATACTATTTTGACATAAGTTACAAAATGTTCTCATGTGGGGTGTACAAAATGGTGTAGTTTTGGTTTTGTCTCATTCCATTAGAAGTCGAGTTTTGAGATAAAAAAAATTAAAAAAAAATAAGGAATCCTCTGTCGGATATCAAAATGACAAATAGAATAGGGTAGTCACGGTTGTGCATGACTATTACAAAAGACAACGGATGGAACCTTTTTGTACAAAGTGTTTTTAATGTTGCAAAGTTTGTAGTGAACACATGTTTTGTTTGTAAAATTGGTGTGTGAGACAAGTTGGAAAGAAGAATTGTAGTCATTCAATTTTATTGTCTCAATCTCTATGCTTTGAAGATGTTTTATAACTCCCACAAGCTCAGAGGTCCAATCGGATATGATAATTAACTCATAAGGTCATCTCCAATCGAGCACTCTATTTTCTTATAAAAAAATTCCAAATTTTTCTTTGCATTTAACTTTACTCAAACTACACTATATTTTTTCTCTAAAAAGAATATTCTATATATATTCTTTATTTTACACAATTACATAAACTTTTATTATTTACATATAAACCCCAATAATATTTTTTTTCTTAATTATAATATAATACTTCCACTGTCCTAAAACAACAGGGACATTTGGGATAGACATGGATATTAAGGAATAATAATATTATATTGATAGTTGATGTAAACGTGTTTCTAAAATACTAAATACCTCTATTTTATGTAATTATTGTGAAAAAGTGAAAATCGTTTTGTAAAAAGGTGTAGAGGTAGTTACCAAAAATAGAATTGAGATTATTATTTTGGGATAGACGAAAATAGTAAAATAAGACTATTGTTTTGAGACGGAGGAAAACTTCATACTCCCTCCGTCTTATATCTATCTATCCGTTTACTTTTTTCACAGAGTTTTAGGAATATTAGTATTATATTGGGATATAGTAGTAATACATGTAAAAAAAAAAAAAAGACTAATCTAACCTTATTAAAATTTGAAAGGTATTTATAATGTTAAATAGATAGTACAGTTACTGAAAAATGAAATAAATACTTTATTATGGGACATATCAAAATGAAAAAATAGATAGAGTGTTAAGGAACGGGAGAGTATTATTTAATATTTTAATATTAAAATATATTGTAATAGAAATATTTACATCTAATTTATAATTTATAAAATAATAAAAAATATAAAAAAAAAATAGGGGACCAAAAAGTAATAATAAAAAAAATTTCTCCTCCATTTTTAAAGAATACTACAGTGTTCCTCCATATTTCTAGGAATACTGTAGTATTCCTAAAAAAATGGAGGAAGAAATGACGCATTTGAAGCGATTTTGCTTTAAATTTTGAGAATTTCTCTCTTTTTTTTTTAGAGTCCTTGAATATGTTCTAAACATTTTTAGTTTTAGCTATAAATAAATAATTTATGTTCTTATTATTGTGGTGTAATGACTAGGTTTTTTTTACGCATGATGATGTGAGAAGTGATATGAGAAAGACTAGTTTGTATTGCATCTTTGTTGGTGTCTTAAGTTTTTATAAATTTAGTGATAAATTGTAGTGAACGACTCTTAAATTGAGATTCTCCAAAAGTAAGTTTTATAATCAAAGTGGTTCAACAATCTGTTTGTTTCATTTATTATTTTGTTTTAGTTTACATTTATTGCATTGACACAATATTATTATTACTACAAATTTATCATGTGTCTAAGTGATATATCTTTTATTTGTGGTTTATAACCCTGTTGCACATTAGTTTAAGGAATGGACCTCTTTATGGCAAATCTTGGGGGAGATGATCTCGTATTTTACAATAAAATAATTGCTAGTTATAGAATATTATTCCCGTCAGACTTAAACCGAGGCGATTGAAGTGGTACTCGCTTTTCAAAAGAACCTTTTTTTGATCTCAATGTAGGCTACGCGAATCCGAAAAGATTGTCTCAGTTCTGGAATATGATTCGAAGAAAGAAGTTACGGCAACAATCTTCCTGGGAAATGGGCGGTTTGATCTTATTGTAACAATGTATTGAACATTTATAACTACATTAAATAAGTGAATTGAAAATAGTCTATTTACTTGTATAAATGTTGTATGCATCAATTGAATTCTAAGTGATGAAAAAAATATAAGATTTCTAGATGTATACACATCTTTATTTCATTTACTCTTCTTTTAACAAATATTTTTAATTCCGACAAAGTTTGGTATCAGAGTAATATACAAAATGATATATTGTTCACTTCAATTTCAATTTTACCTAAATCAACCAAAGAAAACTTATGGATGTGGAGAATACAAATTGAAGCTTTATTGGATTCACTTGATGTTTGAGATATTATGAAAATAGATTATGAAATACTGAAAAAGACGAAGAAAAGTAAGACCTTGTTTAAAATATATCAAAGCATTGATGAAATCACATTCAAATTTTGCTAGTTTACTTTGACATCAACAAGAAGACCATCACGAACAAATGTTGCTAGTTTACTTTGACAAGATTCAAAAAAACTCAATCATTTGTGATCTCTAAAGAGCTTTTCAATGAAAATAATTTTATCTAATTCTCATTTTCCTTCCAAATATGTCATTATCTTCTTTTAATTTCAGATTTTTAGCCTTCAAATCACATTCTATTGATTTTGTCTAGATATTTTTCTTATATTGCTTAATCTTATCATCCAACTTATCCTTTTGACCTCTCAATCAATAGATGGTGTTCAAGAGTTTTTTTTTCTTTTTGTTTTTCACCGACGTTTGTTTTTTTTATTTAACCACTATATCTTCATAAGTTTCAATTAATTCATCAACACCAATGTCTCTGAATTCCTTAGGAGCTTCAATAGTAGAACCATCCTCACTTTAATCGGGTTCATCCACGTATTCCATGAAGAGCACGGAATCATAATTTTCAGAATTTCTCTATCTTCAGCGGAGCCTTCATCCTTAGTATCACTCCAGGTGGCTTAATAAGTTCATTTCTCTTTTTTTTTTCTTTTTTTTTTCTTATTGTTGCACACTCAGACTTAATGTGCTCAACACCATCACATCCGTAGAATGTGGGTTCCTGTACCGTTTCAAGCTTTGTAGACATAGTGAATTATTCTTGAATCCGCCATTGAAATATATTTTCGGTTTACTGTAACTTAAACTGTTTTCAGAATACATTCGTTGTGAAATGAATATATTTGAATCACGCTGACTCATGTTTTGAAATTTTTCATAGCTATGTTTGGCAACTCTCTTCTCACTCATCATCCAACATAGTTTTTTGCTGAGAAGTAATATCTCATCGTTTGATTCAACCAACTGCATGTCCTCAGCAAATAGGGTAATGCCTTTCGAAACTTCATCCTCAATATGATTTATCTCATAAGTAATTAGAATACCATTCAAACCATCAAGAGTTATGGTCTTTAGTTTTTCAAATTCTTCAAAGTAGTTAGTTTGAATTTGAAATTTTTCTTGACTGTTCTAAACATCTTTCTTACCTTCTTATATTCACCATATTGCATTTTCGGAGCATAAACTTGATTAAAAACATCTTTGAATTTGTTATAATTTTATACAATAATTTCATACTCGGTCATTTTAAAGATCCAAACATGGTTGTACACGTTGCAGTTTAGTTTCACGGACTTTAGCATAGCCTTTAAATGCATTTTTCACAATATACCCTGTTTCTTTAGCAATTTTTCAGTTAGATATCAAGTTGAATTGATTCTCATCGACAACATTGAAGATGGAGTTAATGAATTTTTAATTTCCAATATCAGCAACTCTTTTTTTTTTTTTTTTTTTTTTTCTGTACTTCATTCTCGTTTCGGCTTTTGCAGCACAGTAGGAACATTTCCTTCACTTTGGATTGTGTTTATGGGTTGAGACAATTTATACTCAATAGTTTTCCAAAAGTCATCTTCTTGGAACATCAGAAAAGCTTTCATTTTATTCTTCTACTACCTATAGTTAAAGCTATCGAACAAGGGAAGTCTGGTTATAAAACTACCTTATCTACTCATTATGAACTGTGAGTTCATCTACTTGGAGATCATAGTGCACTCTTTGATCAGATGTTGGAAAATAGGGTTCATACAACTCTCATGAGCTACCAGATAGGGGCCAACCCCCCGAGTAAATGCACAGAGGTGTAACGAACCACACTTGAAGAAAAAAAACAATTATAACATAATAAACTCACAAAAACGGCAACATAGTGTCAACTAAATAAATGTTGATGCATCAAAATAATAAATGGCACAATAGTTTGTTGATCCAATTTGGTTATAACCAACCTATATTTAGGGGATATAAATTCAAAAGTAAATTTACTATAATTTATACTGATGACATCACTCAACAACCAAACACTTCTTCAATTTATTTTCTCTTTCTTACCTTATCGTGCAAACACTGCATTGATAACTAGCCGTTAATAGACCTTAATAACACCAACAATGTTCCCGAAGCTGAGAGTAATGAAGCTCAAAAGTTGGTTGCCAACTCCGATTGGATCTGCATAAACTTCTTCCTTTGATAATTCTCCAACGATTTGAATAATAAAAACTTGTTTAGAATATGAAGAATGTGTGAGACAAAGTTGAGATCACGAATGTTATTTCACTCTCTATAAAATTAAACTTTCAACACACAAACTCATCAACAATTTTGTCCCAGACCGATTAAACAACCACATTGTTATGGAAAATTATGTCATTCTTTTCCATTTGCACCAATATGGCATATGATTTTTTTCTGCACACTTGACATCGGTTTGAACATCTTAAACCATTTATTTTGTCTCTTCAAAGCATCAGATGGAATAAGACAAAATGACTATGCAACAAACGTTTAAACCAATCTGCAACAACAAAAAGACAATTATTTTTTTGTGCTACACTGACAACGAGCACAAAAATGTAGGTTTGTCCATATGCCAAATAGAAAATAATATTATTTCTATTTAGCATAGTTCTACAGATTTCTCCCTTGTAACTTCCTCTTGTTTTTAAGGATAAACTCAATCTTTCACTAGATCGACCATATTGGCCTACAATGGAATAATGTATAATGCAATAAAATATGATGTATTCAGGGTATTAATATGATGTTCATATTGTAAATGTATATTGTCATATGTAAAATAAATGATCATTATATATGTTTGTGAAGAAATCGTAGGTTGCCTATGTACGCATTATCGAGACTTGAAAAGATTGCATTTATTCAATCATAGTTATTTTTACGAATAAATGATATTGGTTGTATACAATATCGTAATATGTTTTATTTAGTACAAAAATATGGTCACTAATTGAACACAATATATTATATCGAATTTTTTAGCTAATATTTTGAAATCACCTATTTATTCAATTTTAAAAATTTTAATTTTTGAGAAAATAAAGATATGACTAAACTAGAAACCCACATTAATGTCCCTTAATTTTTGCTAGATATGAAGAGTAGATAAAAAAAATAAAAAAAAAAAACAAAAATCCCCTAAATTAAAGGAAATATATATATATATATATTGAATTATATTTAGCTATTGTAGGATTTCCAAAATATGAATATGAATTGAGTTTTGTTATTTATTTATATTAAATTATAATTTATAAAAATCATCATAAAAAAAATTAATATTGGCTTCTGCATCTTTATTTTTGTAGCCAGAAAACATGATATATATATATTCATAAAAATATATAAAAACATTTCAAAAATTGATGTATATATATTGTTTCTTTGCATTCTTGATAGTTGAGAAGATTTTTGAGTCTATCTATTTAGGTTTCAAGCTACTAGCTTAGGTCGAGAGTTTATCCAAAGTACATTCAAAGAATAGCGTAGGCTGAGAGTTTATCAAAGTACATTCAAAGAATAGCGTTTTTTAATTTTCGTGTCATAAAAACCTAATAATAATAAAAATAAAAATAATGTGTGCTAGTTTTAAATATGTTATTACGATAATTAGTACATGATATAATATAAAATCGTTTCAACATTTGGGGAAAAAAGATTGCCAAGATTAAAAAAAAAAATTAATACACATTCGTCCATTATTAACGTTTATATATATATATTTTTTTTTCCAATTCAAATGTATACAGTTTTTTTAGTAATAAGAACTCTACTGCTATTATATTTAACTATGCTATTAAAATACTAATATTTCTTAATTCACGTTTAAAAAATAAATATAATGCTAAAGCTCCATAGAGGGAAGGAGTATAATATTTGCTCACACGGTATTCAATTTTATTGGATTGTTTTTTATTTTGATCCATAGCATTGTATAATTATATTTTATTATACATATATTTGGAATGAATCAATAAAGTGTAAAAGATATTAATTTTAGTGTGAAATAATTTTTCGTGATGTAGAAAAATTATATGTATTTATATATTCTATATTTGTATTCTTTAATTTAATGGACATTAATATAATTATAAAATTAATATTTTAATCAGGATGCAAATTAAACGACATCTTTGTCCACGTTATTTCTACTGAAATCTCGAAATTAATTCAGAATAGTAGCACCTACCTGGACCCTACTTCACCCATTTAATTAATTAATTAATGTGTGGTTTTTTAATAAAATTTCTTTTAATTTGAAGTCTGTATTTTTTTTTTTAAAAAAAATGCTATTTTTTTTTAATTTAATGTCAAATACAAACTAATTTTTCTTTTAAACACAATCAAAAGAAACACACATGCAAGTTCATGAAGATCATCTCCTTAATTGCAAAAGCAAGGAATATATATACACATACATATATATATACATATATAATTATACAGGTTTGTGGTGCAGTGGTCCTATCTACATTGAAATGGCGTGGAGGGCGGTTTTTCCCCGGGTGGTGGAGCTCTGCTGCAGCCTCAGATACTCACTGTACAATGTGGGCCGATACCTGCACCCTGCTCCACATTCCGCCAGCGCCTCCGCCGGCCTTATCCACGTCGACAAATTTGGCCCACGCGCCACCGCCACCGAGATCCTCGTCCTCTCCGCGTTCACCGTCGCCCGGTGCTCCACGCTCCTGTACTTGCCATTCGTCAGAACCTCCAGGCAGTCCCCGACATTCACCACGAAAGTCCCCGGCGCGTGGGGCACCGGGATCCACGCGCCGTCGTGCTTCACCTCCAACCCCTCCACGCCGTTGTCCATCAGAATTGTGATTGCGCCGTGATCGGAGTGCGCCGCCAGCCCCAGCGCCTTGTCGGGCTCCGGGCAGGGCGGGTAGTAATTGGCGGCAATGATTTGCAGCCCGTCCCCGATCAGCGTGTCCTCGATGTAGCCCGCGGGCAGCCCTAGCCCCTCCGAAATTGCCCCCGCCAGCCCCCCCGCTAGCTCCCACAGCCGCTCCAGATACTCCTTGCTCACAATTCTAACCAATAAATAAATATAATAATAATAGTAATCAGAATATACGTACATATATGTATATGTATATTTGTAATGAGGAGTGAAGTGCTGGCCTGTAATTTGGGGGGTTTTGAGGGGATATGTGGAGAGGATGACCGTAGTGTCTGAGAAAGTCTCTCCAATGTCGGGAGTGTTTCTTGGAGGTGTTGAGGCTTGTCCCAAATCTCACTGGGCTCATTACATCATCAGATGCATATTTCATTTTCTCTTCCACACTCAGATCAAAGAATTCTTCGACGGCTTTCATCATTTCCGACATCATTCCCACCTCAATCCCGTGATTCACAATCTGCAATTGTTCATTCATTTCATTTCTTCCTAGTACCAAATTATTGAAAACTGAGATGAGTGGGTACCCTAAAGAATCCCCAGGTAGCGCAGGCGGAGCTGATGGCTTCGACGGCGGAGATTCTTGAGTGGGGTTGGGTGAGTCCGGCGAGGTCGACGAGAGGAATATCGAGATCGGCGGTGGCGGTGGGCCGGGGTGGCAGCGGAAGCACGAATTCGCGGGGGAGCTTCTTCATCTTTCTCTCCGGCGTAGAATCGAGTAAATGCTTGACGCCTTTCTGGTACTTATTGTCGTCCTCACATTCAGATTCAGATTTAAATTCAGATGCAGATGGAATGAGAGTGGTATGATCGTTTTGATTTGGATTCATAATCATGTTGTGCTGATGGTAGGTTTCCGTGGTGTACTTACTTGTTCTTCTTCTTCTTTTTATGTTCTTCTTGAAGCTCAATTAATTATAGTAATTGGTGGGGTGGTGTTTGCGGTGGGGTGGGGTGGACGAAATACGTGTCTGCATGGAATTGAGGTGAGACGTGGCGACCCGCCAGCTGGCATTTGATTTGCATGCACGCTAATAAGACAAACTGCTTTTGTTTTTTAGTCGCATCATCTTCGTCGACGTTGTTGTATTTATTCGTATCACTTAAATTCGTTTTCTATATATAAACAATGATAAACTTTATATATATAATGTAAAATAAATATTCCCTCCCTCCTTCCTAGTCCTAGTTCTAGTGGGCAGTTAAAAATAGTAAAATGACAAAAACTAAAGGTATTTGTGAAAAAGAAAAAAAGAGGTATTTAATGAAATGTTTACTTTGTAATTGAACGTCCCAAAATAAAAATATGTACACTTTCTAGCCGGAGGGAGTATTATAATCCTATCCACAAACAATATTGTTCTATTTTCCTTTTAAACATATATTTTATCTTTTTACTCTTTATTATATATATATATTTTTAATTTCTATTTTATCATAAAAAATAAATTTGTTCATTCATAAGAAAAAAATAATAATAATAATTAGTTAAAAAAATCGAATAAATAGATTTTAGTACAATAGAAATTGTACGAAATAAATATATGTTATGTATATATATACATTCATCAATGCCATGGAAATATTTGTTAGGGCAAAAGATGCACGATGCAACACAAAGAAGGCAAATTTTTATATGCAGTTTTGGGCTTTAGAGGGCCCATTCCAATTATGCCATAAAAGTAATTATTTCGATAGGATCATATCAGGTGCCGAACCTGTGGGTGATCACTTAAAACTTAATTATATTAATTGAATTGATTAAATAATATAATTATTGTAATTATATAGATTAAATTTGAACTGTACATCACTGCAAGAAAATAGTATATTTGTAACGGAATTCCGTTACTAAAGTTCACGTAGCTAACGTAATTCCATCTCTAATTCCGTCTCTAATATCATTAGTAACGAAAAAACTTCGTTACAAAATTGATAATTTCTTGCAGTGTATTCAGTTGAAATTAAATTTGCTGATCTCATGCGCTATTTTGATTAGAGATTTGTAACATTATGTTATTTTCAACGTGTTTATTTTTGTCCCTTTTTTTTTAAAAAAAATATTTATTTTAGCATATTTTTTATAACATTGATAGAAAAATGTGTCAAAATTTATTGTCCCAAGAACATATCAAAATTTTGTTTTACTTCTCAATTATTTACTATTTAAATAAAGAGTAAATTACATAACACCTTGTGTTTTATTTATTGCATGAAATCCATTTGCGTTAATGGAAAGTTTGCATGTACCACCGTCATTGTCCAAAACGGATGTTTAATTCGAAATAAAGACCTAAATTACGTAAGTTTTATACAAATAAAAAACGTAATATATCTTAAATAATTTTTTTGAATAAAATAAATAAATAAATAATTGATCAATAATTTATTTTTATAATTTTTATAAAAATGGGACAACAATTTGTCTCCAAAAACTATAAAATGAAGGATTAATAAATTATTTATTTATTTATTTAATGCAAAAAAATTATTTAAGATATTTTGCGTTTTTTATTTGTATAAAACTTGCGTAATTTATGTATTTATTTAGAGGTGTTTCATGCAAACTTTACATAAACACAAGGGGGTTTCACGCAATAAATAAAACACAGAGAATTTTGTGCATTTTAACTAAATACAAGAGGTTTTATATAATTTACCCTTAAATATATTTTAAAAAATATTAAAATGTCTCCATCCCAAATTATTTTGTATTGTTTCTAATTGAAATGTACAAGATCTTATTTTTTTTTATTATTTATTTTATTTTTTTATTATGCATAGGATTTGTTTGGTTATATATTTACTCTTAATTTATAGTAATTTTTTCACTAAAAAGTTATATCCTATATGAATTTTATATTTAATTCAGTCCATTTAAAAATACTTTTCATTCACAATGTCAAGTCAAACCAATATTTATACGAGATTAAATTATTATTTGAATTCAGAAATTTATTATTCTAAAAACACACGAAAACACAACCAAACATAATCAAAGCTCGAATTCTTTGTGTTTATAAATTTTTTGTATTTTTATGCTAATTATATAAAATTGTAACAATATTATTAAAATCCTTATTTGATTTTAGATATTTTGTAAACAAATATATTTTTTTTTTATTGGAGCTAGCTTATATTGAAAGCAAGCACAATAGACTTTCCTCTTTTAATTTGCATTTTAAAATAATCTATAGAAACAAACTAATTAAATAAAAGGATATGAAAAAGAAAAAAATGTTTAAAAATAAATTACTAACTAGCGATTGGCTGTCATGAGTTGTTTTAGGTTTTTAATATTTTAATTTTTATTTAAAATATCAAATTAAATATTTTTTTTTATTTACTATTTTTTATAATTTATATTTAACATATCATATCACTATATTTATATTATATCAAACAATAAATCTACTATAATTCAAAAGATTAATTACTATTTAAAACCCAACTCTAAAGCCTAATTAAAGTCCGTTTATTCTCAAATATTAAGGGTATCTTTGTCTTAAGATACAAATATTTTTTTTTTTATAAAGAATAGATAATTAAGTATATAATATTAAAAAAAAAAATTAAATATGTATAATATATTAATTTTTTTAAAAAAATATATTTTTTTGTTTTTATAAAAGGAACACACTCTAATTATATATGGACTTATCAATATTTTTTTATTTTTATCTCAGTTTAATAAAAATATATATTTATATACATTTCAAACTAGTGATTTTTTTTTATATATATAAAATCCATTTTATGTTAATATGTATAAATGTTTGTTTTTATTTTTATTATTATTTGTATTATATAAAATTCTATTTTTTATTTTATATCTATATTGTATATATTTTATTGAAATGTGTACATATATTTTAATTTTTTTATAAATATATATTATAAATAATGTATAATATTAATTAAATATATATACTCCCTCTATCCCGGTGAAAGAGTGGCATTTGCTTAAAAAAGACAAAAATACTGTTATTAGTATAGTGTAATATAAAAGTAATGGCATTGTAATAATATATTGTAAGTTGGAAGAAAATTTATTACGGTTAGTTAAATAGTACAATTACTAAATTAGGAAAGGAAACCTTGTTTTGAGACAGACGAAAATGAAAAATGGTAACCTTTCAATGGAACGGAGGGAGTATATTTTTTTGTCAATTCAACTTTCAACTACAATTTGAACCATTAATCAAATACACCAATTATTTATATTACATCATACAACTATTACAATTCAAAATTTTTGCTATTCAAATCCCAACTCAAAATCCAATCTCTCAACAAACACACCCTAAAAGCATCAAATACAATACAATGAACCCTATACACATACATGCAAATATACCTCAAAATTTAATTTGATTTGTCCAAAATCTTTATTGTATTCAAGGATACCACACAGATCGGCCATAGATCATATCCTCCTCTTCACCAAAGGAATTAGCAAGAAACATGGAACTGATGATCTCCTCTCCTTCTTCAAGAGCATTAGTAGTCGACATCGCCGGACACCTCCCGGCGGCCAAGCAATCGGACTCGTCGACATTAATAATGTCCGAGTTTGGAGTCTGGTATAGTTCTCCATACAAATCTAAGCAATTTTCTTGCAGCTGCTCCAATTGATTATAAGAAGGATCGTGTTCTATACAAGTGTAGCTGCCATTGTTGTTGATGAGCAGTGCAGAGATATGATGAGGATCATCAGTGCAAAGTAGCTGATCGTATGAGCTGAAAATTGGAAGCAGCTGGTCCAGATCATGATCAATTTCAGGGATACCTAAATAATTCACCTCAGGTGAGAATCTTTCTTCCAATTCCAGCATCGAAGAGTGACAATTTGCAGCTGCAAGAAAACCTAAGTCGTCGTCGTTGAGATCCTGAATCTGCAAATCGTTCACTAATGGAACCAGATCTGATGAATTGAGTTCGTCCAAGATTATAGTCTCCTTTTCGTTTTTAGGATTTTGGGGAAAGTGAATTTGATCTTGAGGCGGACTAATTAGGGCAGTCGATGGCGATTGGCTGCGCTTAATCTTACTCTTTCTTGTCGTCTTCTTCGTGTTCTTGTTCTTCTTCTTCTTCAGGTGGGCGTTCCAGTGGTTCTTGATGGCATGGTCAGTCCTCCCGTCAAGCATGGCAGCCATGGCTGCCCACCTGCAGTGCAGTGGGTACATCGAATGGATCACCACAAGCATTAAATTAATTGACGATGAGCTATAGTAAAACGAGCTGGATGGGTGGGTGGATATATATATATATATGGCGATCGAACTTGTTTCCAATTTTGGCATGTAATTCCAGGATTAGATCCTCTTCAAATTTGGTGAAGCTTCCATGGCGGAGGCCTGGTTTCAGGTAATTCTCCCATCGAAGTCTGCAACTCTTGCCGCATCTTGACAGACCTGCAATTTATTATTACATACACATCATATAGATATAGATACAGATATATAGATATAGATAGAGATGGAGAATTAAAGATACCGACCGGCGAGGAGGGGGAGGTGACGCCAGTTGGGGGGGTGGCCGAATTTGGTGATGTGGTCTTTTAGCTTGGCATCCTCGTCAGCACTCCAGGCCCCCTTCTTCATCCCGCTTATACTGTCGTATGAACCAGCCTTCACCATCCCTACCAAACTCTTTCTCTCTCTAAAAAGCTAAGTCCGATCGATCTTATTACCAATATACCAATATATATATAGAGAGAGATATAGGGAGATCTTCTACACGAATTAATATATATATATATGTATATGTGTATCTATCTATGTGGATGACTCTGACCAGAACAATTTTGTCTTGCTCTGCAACCAACCCCATGTTTGGCCCGTACGATATGAACCAAATCGATTTACTTTTTATCTCTCTATTTCCAAACATTCTTAAAGGTGTATTTGTTTTAAGGATGAGATTTTGAGTTGAGATTTGAATAGTCAAAGTTTTGAAGTTTAATAGTTGTACGATGTGATATAAATAGGTATTAATGTGATGTTTTTAATCTAAAATTAATTTTTAGTATAATATAAAAAATAAATATTTGATTTAATATTTTTGGATGAAAAAAATGTAATAAATAATATATTTAAGTTCAATCCCCGAACAAACAAACAGTTCATCATCCTAATAAATCTTTCTTCCCCACCTAGTCCTTGTCAAAATACTCTTCTTCTATTGTCCAATTGTGAATTTATTTTACCATACTGATTTAAAAAATAAAAAATAAAAAAACATAGAGAAAAATTGAAATTTTAACTTTTTTAGATAAAATAAAATAGAATTAATGGTATTTTTTTAACTACTAAAGAAAATAAAAATAAATGTGGAACATTCAAATAAAAAATTCAATTTTGTACTATCAAACTCAAAATAAAATCAAACAAATACTATGTACAAATATCACCAAATACAAACTCGCAAAAATATTTTTGAAATTTTTAGTGTTATTCATCAAAATGTAACTTCTTAGAAAAATTCACACCAAATATATTTTTTCTTAGTAAAACATCATATTAAATACCACAGGTTGGTTTGTTTTTTTTTTTTTTTTTTTTTTAAGTTTCAAAATTAAACTCTAGGTTTATTTTTATCTTATAGTTATAGACTTATAGTTTGAGTTTTTTTTTTTTATTTATTTATTTAATTAATTAGCTTAAGTACTATTTTGATTTTATGTAACTGTCACATTAAATACCAAAGTTTTGGTTGTTTTCAAAAGTCTACAAAACTTTTTTATTTTTAAAGGTGACCTGAAGCGTCGGGGTTTGAACCCATGACCTTACGGTTATACGTCCAACCCTACACCACCACTAGGTCATCCCTTACGGACCGGTTTTTGACTTACACAACAGTGTGTGCATTTATTTTTTATCTGATAATACAGCTGCCTTGTCCACTTCTTACTGTTTTATTGACCATATATAGTATCCAAAATATTTTAGTATTTTCATGAAATACTTATTTGAAAATATTAGAGCTGTTAAATAAATAAACAAATAAACAGTTTGCGAGCTCAGTTCAGTTCGGCTCGTTTGAACTCACTAAGAGCTCGTTCGTTAAGCTAAACGAGCCTAACACGAACATAAATTTTGGCTCGCTATGTTTACGAACGAGCTCGAGCTTGTTCGCGAATGTTCGATAGTATTTATTATAAAAATTAAATTTATAATTTTATATTTAATAAATATATATTTATAAATATTATATTTCATTCTTTTTTATTTAAATTTATTAATAAAAAAATTATAATTATAATTAACTAAATTTAAATTTTTTAAAAAAATTAAATAAAATTTCTCTTAACAAACTGAGCCGAACCAAACACGAACAAAAAAATTGTTAAACGAGCCGAGCTCAAACAAAAATTTCAGCTCGTATCTTTTAATAAACGAACACGAGCCGAACTCAAGTTCCTAACGAACTGAGCTCAAACATGACAAGCTCGACTCTGTTCGGCTCGTTTACCGCTCTAGCAAATACATACAGATTTGTGGTGTTTCCTACCAATTAGTAATCAACCATATTATTGATTAAGTCTACGCGGCCTCAACTCCTCAATTCATTCGATAATAAAACAAATATTATGTGATGTATAGTGGTTTATCTTTTAAATAAATCTAATGTAATATTGGATATTCTGATAATGAATCTTCTATATATGTTAGTTAAGTTTAAATACGATTACTGCATTGGTCCACCTAGCTAGTTGATCAGTTTTTTTAAAAAATCCAGAGAAATTAAAAAGAATATCAAATTAAATCAATCATAAGACTACTTTTGCAGGTAGGACGACTTGGTCCTCATGCAATATAGCACTAAATTGGTAGACGGAGTTAGATGTCTGACCGTGAGGTCATGGGGTCAAGCCCCTAACGCTTCAGGTCACATGTCACATACGGTTCGTTTAATGTGACTTGTCTGTTGGATCTAGTTCGGCCGGGGTTCATACCGCTGTTGGAACCCACTAATGAATTCTTTAGTCGAATTTGTCCATATTTTATTATTTGAACTCTGCGTTTTTCGAAAAAAATAATTTTTTTCTTTTTTTTCACAGAAGAAACATACCCTAATTCTTTATATATATATATATATGCATTATATATTTAATTATTATTATATATGTTCACACACCTTACCTGAGTATATATATATATATATAAATATATAAATCGAGTGGTGGGTCGTCGTTGCTAAATTTCAATTTAGTACCGACTTACATCAATTAGATTTTTATTTATTTATTTATTTTAATTTGGTTGTCCAAAATTTCAAGCTGAACATTTTTGACATTCCTATTGATTACATATGCATATTTAGAGAGATTGTTGTCCATACAAGAATATTATTGAAAAAGTTGCATTGCAAACAGGTCCGATTCTGACTTTTGATTTATTAATTTAGAATATTAAATTTTAGAATCAAAATCGGAAATACTAATATAAATTTGAAACAAAATAATAAAATTGATTGTATTTTAAAATAATATGAAAAAAAGCTAGATTATAACTTACAAATTAAAGATAGTGACTTAGTGTTTACTCTTCATTTATGGTAGTAATAATTAATTTTATAAATTAGTAATTTTATCAGTTAATATTAAAATTTATATTTCATAAATAATATTACTACATAAATTATAATATATATATAAGCTTACTTATAAATTTAAAATAGACCTTACTTATAAAAATCTCTATGAATATGCATATGTATTATTACATGTACAAATAAAATGAGGACCTCTATTTGTATTGGATCCTTGGTGGAAATTGGATACTTGGTGGGAATTCTTTTCAGCAAAATTAATTTATTTAATTAATATTTTATATATAGGTTAATATATATAATTAAAAGAAATTTAAAGTATGTATTTAAAATATTTTAGAATTTATTTTCAAATAAAACATACTCCATTTTTCCCTCTATCACTCATTTTTCTTTTTTGTTTATCACAAAAAAAAAAGCAACTTTTTTCTATTTTTAGTATATTTATTTATTTTAAATATATTTAACAAATATAAATCAATTTAATTAAATTTCTAATATCTTACCACTAGGATCCACTAAAACCCCTTTTATTTCTATTTTTTCTAAATAAATAAATATTTTTATCTAAATTAAAAATCTTTATTTTTTGTAAAATTAGTTTAAGTTAATTATAAATAAATATATATATTAATTTATTTGTATATATAAATTTTATTATCTACAAAATGAGATTCATATTGTATATATTTTATTGACATATAATGCTAGAAAAAATTAAAATACCAGCAATACTATTTATATAAAAAATAATAAAATAATAACTTATTATTTATAAGTTACTAATCTATACTATTTAAATAACCGTGTCTCTAACTAAAGACATCGTCATATACGAGACGGAAGGAGTATATAATATAGATATCATTTTATATAAAATTAAATTTTATAAGCTAAATTGCCCAAAATCCACGTATTGTTTCACGAAATTAATATATTGTATAATAAAATAATTTTAAACATAAATTAAATATAAATAAAAATTGTAATAGACAATTATATTTATGAATTATATACATATATACAAAATTAATATATTGTATAATAAAATAAAGTAATATAGTGTACAAAAAATGTTAACAAAAATATTAATATATTGTATAATAAAATAAGTTAAACTTAAATTAAATATAAATAAAAAATTGCAATAGACAATTATATTTATGAATTATATACATATAAAAAAATATAAATTTATATTAATATTTTTTATATAATTAATAACTATTTTTTTCAGTTAACATTATTATTATCACTCATAATAACAACAACAACAACAATAATAATAATAATAATAATAATAATAATAATAATAATCTCTCTATCTTAATTCAAACTATTATTTTTATTATTTTTGTTTGTCTCACTCCAAAGTATTTCGTTTCTATTTAAAAAAGAAATATTAGTCATACTTTAATACCAAAATACTCTTAATTTTACTCAAATTACAAGCGTAATATTACATATACAATTATTTTATACATAAAGTCAATAACAAAAATATTAAAAACTCTTACACACTTCTACTAACTAATAAAATACTATTATTTTTTAATTTATTACAAAACTCCAAATAGCTCTTTTGATTTAGGACCTAGGGAGTATGAATTTCAATTATAGGTGTAATTTGATATTAGTATAATAAAAACCACAACAAAGAATCTTCAAATCAAAAGAGTTTTTAGTTATTATTTATAAAGAATTGTCAAAGTGATATTAAAATATTCATTATTATTTTTAGATATTTTATAAGAGAAAATTATTATATTTTTATTAAAAAGTATGGACAATTATATTTTTTTTCAATCGAGAATTATGTAAAATATAAAAGAACAGACCATTAAAATAACTTAAATGCACGATAAAGATAGTAAATTTTATCCCGCAAAAAGAAAAGCTCTTTCTCAAAGCAACCCTGCAGTAAGGCCAATTGAAAATAACCAGCGTTACGAGGATGTAGAATTGACTATAGCACGGTGTCATATGACCATAGATGCACAATTAAAGGTAGGTTAAAAAAAAAACAAAGATTGCGATAACGTGTATGCGAGAATTTTTCTGTGCTTTCGAAAGAAATTCAAAGGGTAAGAAGATCTAAAGATAAAATAACTGCGGGTGTA